GCTCGGCGCTCGGCTGAGCGGCCTGCGCGCAGCGTTGCCCCCTGGCGGCGCGGGCGGTGGCGCTCGGGCTGAGGGAGCCGCGCGGTGCCCTCAGAGCCCGGCCGGGCCGGCCCTGAACGTGGGCTGGGGACGGCGGGGAGGGCGGGGACGGGGTGCTGCCCCTCTGCTCGGCCCGTGCGGGACACCTGGGGCGCTGCGTGCCGCTCCGGGCTCCGCAGAGCAGCACACCCGGGGCTGCCGACGTGATGGAGCGTCCCTGAGGGGAAGTCTGAGGGAGCTGGGGCTCAGCAGCCTCGGGAGGAGACGGCTCATCCATAAATAAATATCTAAAAGGAGGTGTCAGAGCACGCAGCAGGCCCTGCTCCGGGGGCCCAGCAATGGCACCAGAGGAACTGATGCTCGGGAAGTTTCAGCTGGACATGAGGAAGAGCTTCCCTGGGCAGCGCCCAGCCCTGAGCAGAGAGGCTGTGGGGTCTCCTCCCTGGGGATATTCCGGAGCTGTCCGGACACCATCCTGTGCCCTGTGCTCTGGGATGGCTCTGCTGGAGCAGGGAGGTGGCACCGCTGCGGTGCCTCCCATCCTGGACCGTGTAGCACTGTCCTGTCCTCTGCACAGACAACAGCTTGGCACTGCCTGCAATTCCCTCAGCACACACCTCGGTGTATGTAAAGATATACATATATATACAAACACACTTCCATATACAAGTGAATATATATGTAATATTCACCTACTGCTATGGAATATCCATGGGAGGATCAGATTCCAGACAACTCGTGGAACAAAAGGAGTGCCCTCTCCAACATGGCATTTAATGTACAAAAAAGAAAACAAAAAGAATCCCCCTGCCCCAGACTGCTCCACACCCCCCTCTGAATTCTGGCAGGAATCTCCTCATTCTCACTCCCAGTGATTTGAGGTGTAGCTCCAGGTAATTAACTCCACTCTGTCATGTCTGGTAAGGAAATTAGTTTTCTCATCAAGAGAATGACTTATCTGACAGAATGTTCTTCTGATAAACCCCTGGTGTAATTTGTGAAACTTTCTGGTCACCTCTTTGTTCAGCAAGGTTTTTTTTTCCCCTCGGAATTTATTCTAAAACTTCCCTTATTGGGATCACACTCGGAGCTGTGCTGCCTTTACCAATCCTTTTCTCTTTTTGGGTACAGGCACCACATTTGCCATTCTTCTGCCCAGATCAATGAATTCAGACATCCCCCACAAGTCCTCAGACCACACCTGTAATTCCATATTTAGTTCTCTCAATATTTTAAGATGGATATGATCTACAACCTCTGGGTTTTTTTGAAAAAATCTGTTCACTATTGAGGTGACAGCTGTCTTAACCTCTTCTCTGCCCTGCTCAGGCTTTACAATCAGTATTACCTCTTCTCCAGGCTACTCAATTCTTTCTTTAATAGAAAACTTGAACTTTTTGGCACTTGTTTTAATTTTCTGTGTGTGGCTGAACTTAACAAGATTTTGGGTAGCCCCTGCTGTACAAAAGTGCCTTGGACAACATTGGTTGGCCTGAGCTGCATGTAACCCTAAACTAGAAATTGATATTTATTTTTATATATATACACACACATATGGAAAACCTCCTCCCAGGAGATTCAGGAAGGGGATTTAGAACACAAACACCCCAAGATTTGAGGATTTAGGGGAAGAAGATGTGAGTGCCCCCTTGCTTTCCCTCCTTCCCCAATGTGTAAGTGCTGAGGAGGAATATTTTTGCCAGCGATACATTTTATAATCACTAAGATTTAAAAATCACTCTTGTGAGTTAGATCACTCCCTGAAGCAACTCACAGAATCTCCTCTCATGAGACAGATGGGAAGAGCACATCCATGGGACATTTTTCCTGCATGTTCCTGTAAAGCAGGAAGGCACCTTCCCAACAGGCAGCAAAGGAACAGGCAAAAGTGAGCAGACTGTGTCAGGTAAAGCCTCTGCAAATGAAGTTAAGACTTTTTCTTTTGTTCAACAGCCAGTTTTTCTAGGTGCTCTAAGGTCCACATGGATCATCCTCAAAATTCTTGTTTCCTGGGCTTGCAGGGGACACTTAGTTATATAAACATGAGCTCATCTGAGGTGAGATTCCCAAATACAGCTCTTTAAAACAGAACAATCAGGTGACCTTAAATCTTGTGATTCTTAGGGTGTGTTTCTGCACTTGTGGTTCTGCTGGTAGCTCCCCATTTGAAAAATATGGAGTGAGATGTAAGTGGGATAAGGCACCTTGTGCCCTTCCAGAAATCAACGCTGCATGTTCAAAATTCAAAGTAAATTGACCTTCAGCCAATTGTGAAAGGAGAGAAAAACCTCTCTGGGTGTGCAGCCTAATGGGGCTCCACAGAAACTACAACAGTGCGATTATCCTAAATAACATCCCTATCTTTAAATTTAACCCTGACCGTGAGCAGTTTCCTGCTAAGACACATTTCACACAGCTTTCCACAGGGAGGAGAACTCCTGCAGAGTTCAGCAAGCTGTGATTGCACTCATGGTGTAACTACACTGTTCAAAACTACTGCCACACACTGCAGGAAAAGCCCCAAGTCCCAGCAGCTTTAGGGTAATTTAAATAAGGCTCATCATCACTGGTTCTTCTGGAGAAACAAATTGTTGGGTGCTTAAAGAAAGGAAGATGGTGGTGACTCACCAGTGGCACTCTGAGCATCAGGGAGCACGCCATCCCCAAGGACTGAAGACCAAGGCTGACAGCAGCTAAGATAGCTCTGGCACTGGTCCAAAAACAGCTAAAATAAATCAGTAAACAGTAGAAATCAGGAAAGAAATGCCAGTTTTTACAATTGCAGAAAACCCTACATGTACAAATTTTATTGAGATGCTCTTTCCTGTGAGAAAATGCTTTAAAAAATCATTAATGCTAGAAAATTCTCAATTGTCCTGTAAAAAAACCCACAACTGGAAAATACAGTTTGTCTTTGCAGTGCTGAATGTGAAACTGTGCTTGGGTTCCTGTCTGAATTTCAAAATTATATTCTGATTCAAAAACCAAAGTGGCACAAGTCACTTTCCCACTGTTCATTTCCAAACTTGCTTGAGCTGGTAACACACGAGCCTTGGAGCTGTGGGGAAAGTCAGCTGCAACCCCTGCAAACTGCAGGGAGCCAAACCTTGGGCAGAGCCAACTTTTCCAACTACTCTGAAGCCGGAGCATGTAAAATAAAGGAGTGACCCAATTGTCAGACATATTTTTATCTGGGTAGGTTACACGTGGTTTTGCTTATCAGTGACAGAGATCCAAGAAGATTTGATAATCCATGAGCTAAATGGGAACTAAACCCAACCCTGGCTGGCTCCTGAGTTCCTGCTGAGCTAAAAAAGCTTGTGAGCCCCAAGGCTGGCCCATTTTTGTCCTTTATTGTAGGAAAACACAGCAACCCTCTCTATCTCAGTCCCATCTTGGCCTTTCTCACACTGTACTTGTAGATACAATAAATCTAATCTAAAATGCTCGACATTATCATATCAGATTTGGGCTTTCTCTCAGAATTGCTGCACCCCAGCTCGTGCAGAGGAGCCAGGCAAAGCTTTCCCAGAACATGCACTGAGGATTGCTACTGAGCTACGAGCAGGTTGTATTTTTGTTACAAGCATTAAGAACTCTCCACTGTGTGGGATAAGCCATCACATTTACACATTAACACCTTCCCAGAAACCCCAGGAAAAACTAGTTTTTGTTATTTCAGCAGGATTTTGCAGCTCTGTACTGGGACTCCTGCATTTCACAGGAGTTTGTGCACACACACAATGGTCCCACCATTCCTTTATCCACATAATCCATGGATGCTACCTTGCAGTGGAGAAAGTCAGTGAGGAAACTGCTAGAACATACTCATTTTAATCAGCAGGGCTCTAATGAAGCAGGTGAAGCTTTGTTTGAACATTCAGTTTTAATTTCTCTTCACCTCTCAGACAAAAGTTAGATTTATACAATTATCCTTCAATTAATATTAAACCAAAGTGGATTGACTTTTTCCCTTCAGGTTTCTCAGATTTTTTGTCCTACCCAGCAGTAGCAGCCCTGCCAAGCTGCACACGGGGTGTTGTTTGCCCTTAGTCATCACTTGCATCTGCTCACTCCGATTTCTCATTTGTCCCATCCCCCACTGGAACATTTTATCCTAATTTAACGAGGAAATACGAGCAGGATATATGGAGTGTGCAACAGGGTCTGACAGCACAGATTGCAATTAAAGCTGTTTAAAATAGCACAAAACTGTTAATTGCCATCGAGTGAAAAATTGGCCATTCGCAGCAGAATTGTTCTCATTATTACACAGTTTGAAAGGATTTGTAAGGATTTAGGGACGCACAGGGAGAGAGTGCTGCTACCATTAGAGGGTGCTGGAGTCCACACAATCCCAATCCACATCCAGCTCCATCCAGTTCCAGAGCTGCTCGTTCTCCTCAGGGACAGCAGAGTCTCAGAAAGACAAATCTGGGGATGAAAAACCATAATCCTGTTTTGTCACGTGTATAAGCCTTGCCCAAATATCCACTGAAATATTTCCCCACAGCTATTGTCTTCACAGACCCCACAAAGATTCATGTCTGATCAAATGCACTTATAAGGTAGATTTAGGTAAAAAGTGCCATGAAATACCATAAACCTGACATTTCCTATTTTCTAAATTCTCCATTTTGCACCCTAAATAACATTATTCTAGTAAGACAGCTGATATATATTTTTTCACACCTTTCAAAAGAAAACATTAACACAAATATCATTCTACAGACCTGCAGCCAACCTGTCTTACTCGTCCCTCCTCTTCTCCTGGGCTGACCAAGTGAATCCTGAATTTCTCTCACAGCCATTTGCTATTTGACATTGGATTAACCACAGTAGTTGGCACTGACTGACTCTACTGACCTGATAGAGGGGTCTTTTTCCTTTGACTCTGTGAAGAAAAAAGGCCTGCCTCACACTGTGCCCTTACAGAAGGAGA